GAAATTTTAATTTTAGAGGCCAAATTTTTCCAAAATATATTAACACAATTACGTCCTGAACCAGAATATTTTCGCGTGGGCTTTTATGGTTTAGGATTCCCACTTTTTGTGCGGGTAAATAAAGGTTATAATAACAATTTTATCGCTTTATACTAAAAGCAACATTATTTCTATAGAACAAACAGTTCGTTTATCGTGGACTTGAATATGAACGCATCGGTGCATTTACACAACGTCTACAAACTGAGTTTCCTACCGCACAAATTCTTAGTAATAATAATCCACCTGATAATAGCATTCTTACGGCATCGGAGCAATATATACAAATTAGTAATGTTCGTCCTCTAGGTGATGCTCAAGCTTTGAAAACAGCTATGGTACCAGTGCCTGAAAAAATTGCTAGATTTTATGATGTAATATAATTTAATATATATTAAATTAACTTAAAGTAAGCCATTTCTAAATAATTTTGTTACACAGGTAAATGATGTCACCCGTTTTATATATGATCGTCCAATTTACAAGGGACCAATTGATAAGGATAATGAATTTAAGTCTCTTTGGGTTGAACGAACTACACTCGATATAGCAAGTCCCCTACCAGGTATATTGCGTTGGTTTGAAGTAAAACACAAATCCGTGCAAGAGATTACACCAGTAGAATTCGCTTGCGAAACTATGAATAATGTTGGCAAAGAACTTTGGGATTTGATTGTGCAATATCGTAATGATCCAAAACGAAATATAAATCCATTCTCTATGCGTTTGCAAGGTATTATTGATGCTAATGTCATGGGAGGTATAAGTAAATACCAAGAAGCATTCTTTTCTGAACAATTCATAAAATCACCGCAAGGACAGGGACAACAAACAAACGTGCAAAAATTGAAAGCTCTCATATTGGAACAAATACAAATTTTAGAACAAGCCTTGGAATTACATGGGCAACTAGCACCTGCTGGTGTACAACCCTTGCATAATCGACTACTGGAACGTTTTTCACAATTAAAACAAAGCCTTTCGGGTATGGGTCGTTTAAAGCGGCAACATTCTGAAAGCATTGTTAATACACCATTACCACCTCTGCCTACAGAAAAACGTACATTAAGTTTGGGTAGTAATGCGGCTCCACCAACACATGCATTGGCACCACCAACATCTTTTGCTAACTCTAACTATTATGGTGTTTATGAGCATGATGATATTTATACACGACCTGGTGATACAAGACCAGTAGAGATCACTAACCTAAGTTTAAGTTCGTTAGCTCATAACTCTTATCAAACATTAAGCAAAGAAAGTCTTAGTATACCAGAAATAACACGCGATCAACAAGCACCACCACCAGTACCAAATCGACCGCGTTCACAAAATTTTGTAAATTCTGCTGTCGATAGTCCAGAAGTGCCACCTAAAAAGAATCTCAATCAATTAAACTCACCAAACGCACCACCATTACCACCACGTGGCATTACACCCGATAAGCGTGCTTCAAATCCTTTGGTATTCAATGATTTTTCAAATTCTGATGGTACAAGTTCCAGCATGCCACGAAGGCCACATTCTTCACTGAACCAACATCAACAACAACAACAACAACAAAATTCACAAAAGTATTCCGTGGTTGATATTAGTTTCGATGATCCAGAAGCGGATCAACCACCACATTCGCTTAATCATTTACACGATCCTACACATTTAAATGTGGGCTATACACCGAATGATTTTCGAGACTCTGGCATATCCACAACTAGCTCGCATGAACTCAATCATCTTAATAATTTAAGCGAAGAATCATCAACGAACTCACTTAGTACTGTACACCAAAGAGAACACTGCCGACTATCATCAAATGACAGTATAAATGGTGCTTTTACTATTAACACACAATTGAATATAAATCATCGTGAAAATTCTGCTAGTTCATTTGATATAGAGGATCTACCAATGCCACCACCACCGCCAATACCACCAAAATCATTAAATATAATTACCGCAAACGATTCATCTTCAATTGAAGAACAGCTTTCACCAAAAATTACACATAATCATTCCATATCTAATCATCAACATAATCATCATCATCATGTTCATCAACAAAATGGTATTAATGACGGTTATGTTGCGCCAAAAATAAATACAAATACATCTACAGGCGAAATTAGTGATACAAATGGAGATGGTAACACTTTTTGAGTTGCAATATGTCGCTGCCATCTACCACCGCCTACGACAACAACACACTCTCAAAGCAGCACCACAGAAACTTCATCAACTACACCATCGCCTCCTCCTCCACCACTAGCACCACTAATAACCACAACATCGTTACCACCCATTATACACACACAAAATCATAACCATTACCATCAACATGAACATGAACATCAACATGAGCATCATTATCATCCCAGTGCACATTATTGTCATGAATGTCTTTCATCACCATCGCCACCACCTACACATGCAACAACAATAACCGAACAGGTGCTCGTACATCGTCTGCCAGTTTCATCTTCATTATCATCATTAGCAACACCAACACAAACACCACCACCAACTACATTAACACAGGCACGATCACTATCACCAACCACTCAAGGCTTACCATATATGGAGCACTGTTCATGTGGCTTGACATTTCCAGTTGAGCACAGAACAAGCGAATCGGCGACTACTTCAGCAGCTTCGACTTTACAACGCGAACGAAATTATTATTTCAATGATGATCAAGAGATTAACTATTATTCGGGAAATAATACGTTTCATGTGCATAATCACAGTCACAATCACAGGTTTAATACCGCCCTATACAATACTCATATTAATTCACTTTCCCAACACAGTCATACACACACTTGTCAGCACGCAAGTCATGTACATGCACAAACCGATTTTTCATACCCCAATCCACGATGACCAGTCACACTTCCGAATAGAAATTATACCTAGTTTTCTGAGCATTGAATTCCATTGAGGAGATATCTAAATCAATGAAGAAAAACCTACATTATAGCGGTATCTATCAGATATCTGCGGCTCTCATACTGTAAGGGTCGTTTAATTCATTTTTTCTGTCGACTGCAGTCACATCGAAATGGATCGAAATCAGAAATATTGTTATAATTTTAGCACAAATTTAAATTTCAATAGCACAAATCACTTTTTGATGACCTAAGAGCTTGCACCTTTTTGAAAACAAATACTAAGCTAAAGGATATTGAATTATTTCAATGCAAAAATATTGCAATCAAATATTCAACTAATGTAATGTTAAGACTCAAAAAATAAAAAAAACAAAATAGTAAATAGATATATATAATACATATGTATATTTATTCAAAGTCAATGTTTTTTATGTTTGGTGCCAAAATTAAGTTAAATTATATTTACCAAAAAATTAAAATAATTATTTGTGTTTTTAAAATAAGTTCTAAAATAAGTTTATATATAAATTGTAAAACATATCTTTTTTAACATGAATTTAAGTCAATATCTTTTCATGAATCTTTTTTAAAAAAATTTAATAACTTAAAAAACAATATTTATGTAACATACCACCAAAAAATAAACGATTTGAAATGGAATTGTTAAAATAAAAACTAAAATGTTTAAAGTTACTAAAAGTTTAAAATATTTAATGGATATTTATAAAAAAAATAGTTCTTAATTATATAGTCAAAAAAATTTGGTTTTTGTTTAACATTTCAAATTTTCAAGACACTTTCATTTTATAAAATATAGCATTCAATTTTAATTTTCTGAACAAATCATTTTATAACACTCTATATTGATATAACCTAGTTCTCGAGACTCTACTAGTTTTCATGTAAAAGTTTGTGCAATCATACAGCCTAATATCTAGAGACCTAAGCTATGTCAACATATAACATAGCTAAAAAGCTACTCAGAATATTAATATTGACAAAAATCCATTGTCAAATCGCGTTACCTGCAAAATCAGTATAATGTTATATGATCATTAAACATACATATATCTATATAGATAGAGTATATAAAGTATAAACAAAATACAAATCTCAACTGTTTGTTTTAATTTACAACAATGTCTTTTTAGGATATTATAATGAATTCAAAATTAGGAACGTTTTTTAAAAAATTTGTTATAGTTGTGTCTAAAAAAATATGTCCACAAACATGAAGATATTATAATATACCTGCTTAATCTATTCTGCTAACTAATCAGTCTACTTTGCTATAGGTATAATAGAAAAGTAATCCCCATAAAGCTTTTAAATCTATTAGTTGTGTTTACTATAACTTATAGTATGTGCGCTTTATAAGCACTTTTTTTTTCTAATATGTGATTATATTTTATTTAAGGATATAGCAAAATGAACGTGGAGTGATGTTTGAAAATAATTCTTTAATATTTTTATAAAGAACTTGCAGTTTCTAATTTTTAGAGCTATCCATCAACAAACGAATTTTATAAGCAATTTTTTTTAAATGAATTTATTATTTTATAAGTTTTATGTTTAAATTGTAAGTGCTTCCCAAATATAAACAGAAGTAAATATAAAATAAAAATAAATTTAACAATTTCAACAGCTTCTATCGTATGAAATTTATTAATTAATTTCTAACTTTTTTAAACAAATTGAAAATGACTTTTAATAATTAAAATAAAATCAAAAAAGTAACAGCATTTATAAGTTAAATTGTATAAAATTAATTAAATAATTTTTAATTTTTTTTTAAAAGAAACTATTTATTTAAACTATATTAACATTTTATAATTTGCATTTTATTTATATTTTTTCTTTTATTATATATAATTTTATTTTGTTACTTTTTAACTTATAAATAAAACAATCAGAATTTAAAAAAGTGTAATTGTAAATAATCGTATATATAACTACCTATTTAAACCATCTTTATATTTTAGCCATCATAAAATTTCAACAACAACAACAAAACTTCTTTAAATCAAATTATAACTATTAATATTTTATATATATATATATATATGAAATGTAGTACTATAACATTATGTAGTGGTGCACATAATATAAAATTGTTATATTTTATATTAATATATATACATATAATATTTATATAACATATTAAATAAAGTTATATAATAATAAACTATATATATTATAGTATTGATTCTGACAAAATACATACGACATCACACTAAATACTATTAATTTATATAAATGTTAATATATATTAAAATATATCAATACAATTAAATTTATATAAAAAATTAAAAATATCTTAATATGCAGTAAAATTGTGAATGGATAATTTTTAAACAATAATGCAATTCCTATTCATTATATAATCTTTTTAAAATATATAGAAAAATAGAAAAAATACAAAAAACAATATATAAAAGTTAAGTAAAAAAGTTGTGAAAAAATGCGAGCGCATTTCCGCGTTTTAAGCATTAAACGAAATCAAAGTTCTTCGAAAAGTTGTAATCAAAAAACACCATTTTAAAATTTATTCAATATAAATTTTATATAACAAATATTTATACAAAAAATTTATATATTAAATAAGAAAAACAAACATAGTTACATATTATAAAAATCTATAGCAAAAATCTTCTAATGTGCAATGAAGTCATTTTACTTTAAAGAAACGAAAAAACTATTCATTAATTTTAACAAAAAAAAAAAACAAATATAAATAAAAGAAAAACAATATATACAAGTAATAAAGAAAATCATAAGGATAAAATTTATTATACTAGTCAACATATAAGCAAATTATTATGTTATACATATTATTTATATGAAATTTGTATATCATTTCAAATACATATTGTAATTTAAAATTTAAAAATTAATATATTTAAAAAGCATAAAGCGAATTTAACAAATAAACTTTAATAAAAACATTTAAAAACCAAAATAAATACTATATATACATACAAAAAGTAATGGAAACTATTCATTTTTTAATTGCCATACCTGACTTTAAATAAATTTATTTTTCGCTTATTGAGAAATACGTTGATTATGCGTTAATGAAAAAAATCCGTTTAAATTTAAATTTAAAAATTTATATTTTCATTATTATATCTCCAACTCAAATAGCATTAACGGTACTGCTAGATATGATAAAGGATGTTACATACATTCAAACCAATGTTAAATGCTTCGCGTATACATAAACGTACTCGATGGATCCAGTGGCTAAGCTGATTCAATAATTCAGACATAGCTAGCGCTACCGTCAGACGGAAGAACTTTCAAACATGACTATACGATGTATTCATGCCTATAAATATACATTATAGTAGCATATTTAAATATGTACAGTGTATTTAAATACACTAGATTTTTCTGATCAGACTAGTTATATCATTTTGTAGTACTTCAGTGGAAAGGAAAATGATATGCAAATAATTTTTAAAAATAATTAAAATTAAGGCATGCCACAATGCCCTTAAAATTAAATAAAATTTATATCACGAGGGTGGTTTGATAAGTCAGTGACTGTTTGAATTTCCCGCGCAGTTACTCCAAATGCAACAGTGCTGCCGTCAGCCATAATCTACCAGTGGGCAACTTTTTAATTTTAAGCAAGCTACGTCGTTCAGTTGGTGTTGGATAGGCGTTCAAAGCAGACAACCTCGTGGATTTTTACGAAAATGGAAAAAAGTGAATTTTGTTTGCTGATTAAGCATTGTGACCAAAATCCACGAATTGAGATACGAACTGCTACCCCATCCAGCATATTCTCCAGATTTAGCCCCCTGCGACTATTTTCTGTTTCCAAACCTAAATAAATGGTGAAATTCACTATTCACACTATTTTTCTATAACATCTCACAAGGAACTATAACATCTCATATAAAAGTAACTATTATGTCATATGGGAAGAGAGTTAACATACAAGATGAAGTGTCTCATTGCATTTAACGTGACCAAGGACGACTCACGTCTGTAATAGTCAACTAAATAACTAAGTAAGTAAGTAATTGTTATGTTGTTAGCCGTATAATTCTCATATTGTTGAAAGTCCTTAGTTATTTGGTTTTCTTACGAACTTTGATGTGATGAGTTGCTTTGGGACGTAGATCTAGACTCTTATGGAATCTTAAAAGAAATTTATAAATTCTAGCTAGCAAAAATATTTATAATATAGAGCTAAACCTTTTTCAAGTTCTTTTACTAAATCTCATAGTATATATAAACGAAAATATAAAATAAAATTATTTCAATAGTTTTCAAATGCGCTATCCTTTATTTATTTTATTAGTACTATAAATTTGGTTTGTTTTTTTTTTCTTTTTAAAATATTTCATTTATATGTGTTGAAATGTAAGAGACATTTGAGGTCTTAATTATTTATTAGCATTTTTTTGAAATACTTTATAGTTTTATATACTTTGCAACACTAAATAATATGCAAAAAAAAATGAATAAAAAATTTTTTAAATAATTTGAATAACTTTTGAAAATTAATTTCTTAAATACTATAAAGTAAGGACTATCAATCATATATATGTAAGCTTAGTATTGAATGGCTTAAACCTTGTCAATACCTGTAAGGGTTTTTAGATTATTAATTAGGTATTTATTGTACTCTTTATAGTTGATAGGTGCCACTGATTGTACAGTTACCTTATTGCGATGCATATCCTGTTAATAAAAAATATACATATTTACTTCATAATATGTTAATAAAAAATATAATATAAAACTTACGCCATAAACTTCAACTTTGGTGCGTAATTTAAAAATGTGTGAACTGAAATGCAGAGACGAAAATATTTCCTCAGCTTCAGTTGCACTATGTTCTAGAGCTTCGCCAATTTCTTGTGGAGAACGATTTAACAATTGTTCGGCAACATCACTAAAGCAAGTAACCCAACGATTAGAGGTCCAATCACCAATGCACATCTGTTAATTTTTCAAGTGTTTTTTTTTTAATTATAAAAATTGGTTTAATTGTATATTCAGTTAATAACATACATTTAAAAGCAACCTGTACTTGAAATTGGGAAAAACAGCATTACAACGTTCACAACGATAATGGCCATTATTCTCATCAACCACTTTTTTATTACATTCTGGTTGTGGACAAGCTTTGTAAAATGCATTTTGAGTTTTAACAACATGAACAACTGCTTTGCATTGGAAGTAATCAGGTCTGTCACCTTGACCCAAATTCTTTTGACGAGCTTCAAAGAATGATATCCATTCGGTGTTGAAGTTACCTCCCGCCACACCGGCTCCTCTGTTAAAAAAAGATTAGGTAAACATAAATTTTATACAATAAAATTTATTATTTCACAACCTGGCAGATATGGAGACTGCTTCATCTTTTACTCCCTCATTGTCGAACCAACCACGTAGTTGATGGCCTTCTGTAATATCTGGATTAATTTTCATTACTGAGCTTTGACCCATACTAAGGGTTTTTCCTCCATTAAATTCAGCAATACGAGCTCCTTTTAATAGAACGATAGGTTGTACATATCCATCGAAATTTACTGCTTCATCTCCCCATATTGTAAGTTGCACCTTAAAAATCGAATATATAAAGATAAGCATAACTGAAATTATTGATCATTTCCACCTACAGAAGCATTGCTCTTATCAACTAAAGTAATATCACGTTTCTTATACTCTTTATTAGTGGTACGCGACGTGAAGATTTGTAATTCACCAATTTCTTTACACACACCAATTGTATCTAAAAATAGATTTATATATACATTAATATAATGCCCAACCCAAACTTGGTTAAATACGAATAATGCCCTCAATTAGTAACAATAAGTAACGACTAAAATTATAACATAATAATCTCATACTATTCTATTAGTTTTATACTTGTAAACCAACTATTATCATACCAACTACTGATTTAGGTTCGATGTTAGCGAGTTCAGCTATTGGTTTCAAATCATATGTGATTTGGGGTATACCATCACTTTCATCATCACAAAGTTGAATGGCCGTTTCACTAGTGAATGTCATTTCATAATCATTCTTAAGTGTTGTAAATTGTTTATTCGCTGGCTTCAGTTGACATTTGGATATAAGATAGACATGATCCACCTCAATCATATCAAAATATTTATCACACTGCTCCTTGAAAGCAGTTGCACGTATTTCACCAGATTCATCCATCAAATCCATACTGAATAGTTTACCCTCGCCTTTGGCATTGCTCCAAGTTCTTATGGGACTTTTAAATGTGACACGCGCTTTAATAACCCATTTATTTTGATATGGACTAAGACTGGAAATGGGATGTGTAAGACCAGAATTAATAGTTTGATTAAGGGCATTATTGTTGTTATTATTGTTAACAGGTTTTATTTCCGGTTTAGTTGGTTTAACAGGTGATGGTACAGCAGATTTTGCAGCAGCAGCTTTGGCATCAACTTCGGTATAGGAGACTGGATCACCAATTTTTCGTCCTACTTCACCACCAGGATTGAGAACTGTTAGTTCCAATATAATGAGCACACGTCTAAAAGGAAAGTACGTTTTAATAGTGTTGGGAAAAATCTATAAATTCTATTCACTAACCGTCCGGTTTCAGTTTTATTAACAACGGAAGTTATGTACTTATCCACTTGTATGATAGTATTTTCACTAATTTTACCGCTTCCATGCAAATGATTTAATTGCGTTGCCAGCATCGCATAACTATTCAAGTATTTTCCATCAGAAACCAATAGACGTAAACGTTCCATTTCACCGCCAGTAATTTTTTTAGTGCCCAAAATTTGTAATACGGGCTTATCAACTTCCTCACCAGCCATTATGCGCTAAATAGTTTAACAATTTATTAAAATTAAAATTACTTCATTAAAAACCCAAAGTGCCCTTCGGTATAAAATTTTTTCTTTATGATAAGATATAATATTTTAAACATAAACTTACAGCAATGACTCCATTGGTTAAGGGCGCTATGCCAGGCATTTTGTTAACCTTTTATGTAGCAATACTTTATGCACAAGAAATAATATTTAAATTTGCAGAGATTTCACAACAAATTGGAGTGCTTGACTACAGTTTAGTAAAATTCCGCCAAACACGACGCAGTAAAGGTATCTGGCGCGAAGGGAAATTTTTTAAAAAGGTATGTGTCATATGTAGAGTTGTATTTCATACACAAAAATTTAACTGAATTTTGTGTATAAAATTTTTAATAAATAGTTGACGAATAATTTGGGGTATTTAGACGTTGCTCTACCATTTGATATGCGGTAAATTGATAACAACAAATATTTAAACTATTATTTTTAATATCTTTCATTTGTTAAATGGAGCAGTTGATTGCTTGTTTTGTTATAAATACAATAATAGGAAAAAGTAAAGTATATTGAAAAAATTGAAAAAAATTAATATGATTTTTTTTTTTTAATTTCTTATTTCTATCAATGTTTCTTTATATATTATTTTTTCAAACACTTCAAATTTAAAATTACACTTAATTTTTGTACTAATATAGATTTTAATAACTTTCCAAGTATTATACTATTTACTTCATATATTTATTAAACCAATAATATATTGTCATGGTTATTATAAACCTGATTTCTAACAGTATTTAAAACGTGTGCAAGTAACGCTAAGTTGCGTTCTAAATTAGTGAAATTCTAAATGGTGCCGATAATGTAGTGATGTGTCGATTCGTGTTGATAAATGGCTAAATGTGTACAGTGCAAAAAATCCCAGAAAATCTCTTATTTGGTTTAGCATCAACTTAGCCTAACTCGCACACGTCCTTAGCATAGTCTGTATTTAAATAAATTATTGCCTAAGCGTGTTTTTATGCTCATACATGTAAATACAATAAGATGCAATTTAAAATACATCTTATGTTTTAACAACACTTTTTAAAATTTATTTTAGTTACTATTGGATACTGATGGATATAAGTTTGCATTAAACGTGGATAAAAATATTGTTAACAAATTTTAAAAAGTGTAGAAATGCAACCCTTAGTTGGAGCACTTGGTAGCACTTCAAGCAAAACAAAACGTTTGACATTTGCAATAACAACAAACGAAGAGCTGGAATTAAGATGGTAAATATGCAAAAATTAAATATAGAAACTTTTATTAACAAAAATATTATTTTAAGGCGCGTAATGCGGAAAAGGCTATGTAAGTTTTTCAATGTATGAAAACAATAAAAGTGTAACTTTATTTTTGTTGTATTAGGACAACATTAGCACGCTGGCGAGCGGCAAAAGAAGCAGAATCAGGTGAGAAAGATCGGCGACCGTATTTGGCATCTGAATGCACGGATCTACCAAAATGTGAGAAATATCGTTTGGAAATAATACGTGAGATTTCCAAAAAAGTATCACAAATACAAAATGGTAATTTATTTGAAAGTATAGATATTAAGTGATATATTAAATATTTACATTTTAGCTGGTCTCGGTGAATTTCGCATAAGGGACTTAAATGATGAAATTAATAAATTATTGCGTGAGAAACGACACTGGGAAAATCAAATATCCGCTTTAGGCGGTCCGCATTATAGACGTTATGGCCCAAAAATGTTTGATGCAGAAGGCAGAGAAGTGCCGGGTAATCGTGGATATAAATATTTTGGTGCAGCTAAAGATTTACCTGGTGTTCGAGAATTGTTTGAACAAGAGCCGCCACCACCTCAGCGCAAAACTCGTACTGAGCTCATGAAGGATATTGATGCTGAATATTATGGATATCGGGATGATGATGATGGCATACTTATACCATTAGAAGAGCGAATAGAACGTGCAGCTATTCAAGATGCACTTAAGGAATGGAAAGAAAAAATGGCACGAGATGGTCGTATAATAGATGATAATGAGGATGATGATAATATATATCCAATATCTGGACCTGCTAGAGAAGCTGCTGCAGCTAAACGTAATGACGAAAAGGACGTGCAAAATGATCCAATGGAATTGTTGGCACCTCGTTTTACAGCACATGTGCCTGTGCCGACGCAAAAAGATATTGAAGAAGCACTTCTAAAGAAACGCAAAGAAGAATTATTAAAGAAATATGCTGGGGGTGGAAATTTGGATTAAGTTTTGTTAATAAAAGCAAAAACGAGACATAATGATTTTACCAATTATTTATATTTACAAACAGGTTTAGGATCAACCTCAATATATCAATACAAGAGGTGTTCAATTGGTATTCCATATTAGTCTAAAGAGCATGTTAGTCATGAGAACGTGTATTTCAATTTGGTCCAACAATTTTGTAATTTAAAATTGTTGGACCAAGTTGACATTTGGATATAAGATAGACATGATCCACCTCAATCATATCAAAATATTTATCACACTGCTCCTTGAAAGCAGTTGCACGTATTTCACCAGATTCATCCATCAAATCCATACTGAATAGTTTACCCTCGCCTTTGGCATTGCTCCAAGTTCTTATGGGACTTTTAAATGTGACACGCGCTTTAATAACCCATTTATTTTGATATGGACTAAGACTGGAAATGGGATGTGTAAGACCAGAATTAATAGTTTGATTAAGGGCATTATTGTTGTTATTATTGTTAACAGGTTTTATTTCCGGTTTAGTTGGTTTAACAGGTGATGGTACAGCAGATTTTGCAGCAGCAGCTTTGGCATCAACTTCGGTATAGGAGACTGGATCACCAATTTTTCGTCCTACTTCACCACCAGGATTGAGAACTGTTAGTTCCAATATAATGAGCACACGTCTAAAAGGAAAGTACGTTTTAATAGTGTTGGGAAAAATCTATAAATTCTATTCACTAACCGTCCGGTTTCAGTTTTATTAACAACGGAAGTTATGTACTTATCCACTTGTATGATAGTATTTTCACTAATTTTACCGCTTCCATGCAAATGATTTAATTGCGTTGCCAGCATCGCATAACTATTCAAGTATTTTCCATCAGAAACCAATAGACGTAAACGTTCCATTTCACCGCCAGTAATTTTTTTAGTGCCCAAAATTTGTAATACGGGCTTATCAACTTCCTCACCAGCCATTATGCGCTAAATAGTTTAACAATTTATTAAAATTAAAATTACTTCATTAAAAACCCAAAGTGCCCTTCGGTATAAAATTTTTTCTTTATGATAAGATATAATATTTTAAACATAAACTTACAGCAATGACTCCATTGGTTAAGGGCGCTATGCCAGGCATTTTGTTAACCTTTTATGTAGCAATACTTTATGCACAAGAAATAATATTTAAATTTGCAGAGATTTCACAACAAATTGGAGTGCTTGACTACAGTTTAGTAAAATTCCGCCAAACACGACGCAGTAAAGGTATCTGGCGCGAAGGGAAATTTTTTAAAAAGGTATGTGTCATATGTAGAGTTGTATTTCATACACAAAAATTTAACTGAATTTTGTGTATAAAATTTTTAATAAATAGTTGACGAATAATTTGGGGTATTTAGACGTTGCTCTACCATTTGATATGCGGTAAATTGATAACAACAAATATTTAAACTATTATTTTTAATATCTTTCATTTGTTAAATGGAGCAGTTGATTGCTTGTTTTGTTATAAATACAATAATAGGAAAAAGTAAAGTATATTGAAAAAATTGAAAAAAATTAATATGATTTTTTTTTTTTAATTTCTTATTTCTATCAATGTTTCTTTATATATTATTTTTTCAAACACTTCAAATTTAAAATTACACTTAATTTTTGTACTAATATAGATTTTAATAACTTTCCAAGTATTATACTATTTACTTCATATATTTATTAAACCAATAATATATTGTCATGGTTATTATAAACCTGATTTCTAACAGTATTTAAAACGTGTGCAAGTAACGCTAAGTTGCGTTCTAAATTAGTGAAATTCTAAATGGTGCCGATAATGTAGTGATGTGTCGATTCGTGTTGATAAATGGCTAAATGTGTACAGTGCAAAAAATCCCAGAAAATCTCTTATTTGGTTTAGCATCAACTTAGCCTAACTCGCACACGTCCTTAGCATAGTCTGTATTTAAATAAATTATTGCCTAAGCGTGTTTTTATGCTCATACATGTAAATACAATAAGATGCAATTTAAAATACATCTTATGTTTTAACAACACTTTTTAAAATTTATTTTAGTTACTATTGGATACTGATGGATATAAGTTTGCATTAAACGTGGATAAAAATATTGTTAACAAATTTTAAAAAGTGTAGAAATGCAACCCTTAGTTGGAGCACTTGGTAGCACTTCAAGCAAAACAAAACGTTTGACATTTGCAATAACAACAAACGAAGAGCTGGAATTAAGATGGTAAATATGCAAAAATTAAATATAGAAACTTTTATTAACAAAAATATTATTTTAAGGCGCGTAATGCGGAAAAGGCTATGTAAGTTTTTCAATGTATGAAAACAATAAAAGTGTAACTTTATTTTTGTTGTATTAGGACAACATTAGCACGCTGGCGAGCGGCAAAAGAAGCAGAATCAGGTGAGAAAGATCGGCGACCGTATTTGGCATCTGAATGCACGGATCTACCAAAATGTGAGAAATATCGTTTGGAAATAATACGTGAGATTTCCAAAAAAGTATCACAAATACAAAATGGTAATTTATTTGAAAGTATAGATATTAAGTGATATATTAAATATTTACATTTTAGCTGGTCTCGGTGAATTTCGCATAAGGGACTTAAATGATGAAATTAATAAATTATTGCGTGAGAAACGACACTGGGAAAATCAAATATCCGCTTTAGGCGGTCCGCATTATAGACGTTATGGCCCAAAAATGTTTGATGCAGAAGGCAGAGAAGTGCCGGGTAATCGTGGATATAAATATTTTGGTGCAGCTAAAGATTTACCTGGTGTTCGAGAATTGTTTGAACAAGAGCCGCCACCACCTCAGCGCAAAACTCGTACTGAGCTCATGAAGGATATTGATGCTGAATATTATGGATATCGGGATGATGATGATGGCATACTTATACCATTAGAAGAGCGAATAGAACGTGCAGCTATTCAAGATGCACTTAAGGAATGGAAAGAAAAAATGGCACGAGATGGTCGTATAATAGATGATAATGAGGATGATGATAATATATATCCAATATCTGGACCTGCTAGAGAAGCTGCTGCAGCTAAACGTAATGACGAAAAGGACGTGCAAAATGATCCAATGGAATTGTTGGCACCTCGTTTTACAGCACATGTGCCTGTGCCGACGCAAAAAGATATTGAAGAAGCACTTCTAAAGAAACGCAAAGAAGAATTATTAAAGAAATATGCTGGGGGTGGAAATTTGGATTAAGTTTTGTTAATAAAAGCAAAAACGAGACATAATGATTTTACCAATTATTTATATTTACAAACAGGTTTAGGATCAACCTCAATATATCAATACAAGAGGTGTTCAATTGGTATTCCATATTAGTCTAAAGAGCATGTTAGTCATGAGAACGTGTATTTCAATTTGGTCCAACAATTTTGTAATTTAAAATTAAAACAAGCAGCTTAAAAGTCCCAAGTTCCAAGTCGAAAATTTTTTTTATTTATAATACAAGCGGTTCTAGAAAAATTGTTAATTAGGTTTCCTCACTGAGTACAGCGTTAACTGGAGAGGGAGGGTCAACTTTAATAACTATATGTTCTGCTATCATATTATTAATCAGTTCATTAGGATTTTGTTTAATGGAAATTCTGGTAGACCGATGCGATTCCTGTCGCAACGCAAATGATAATTGTTTCTTATTTTTATTATTTTTCACAGACTTTGCTTTTTCTTCAGCATTTTGCAGCATATTTTTATTCCTTAATATTATTTGTCGAACCGTCTCATGAGAAACTTCAGCACCATATTCATTTTTTATTTCCAGAGCAATGCAGCGGGTTCCTTTTTTTGGATTTTGTCGGGCTTTTTTTAAAATTCGTGATTCGTCACGACGAGATAATTTTCTTGGTCTGCCAGATGAACTTAACAACTCTAATCTACCCTCATGTTCTGCTCTATTAATTATATTATAAACAGTTCTTAAGGCCAATTGGTACTGCTCCGCTAGTTCCTTTGCCGTTTTCCCATCTTTGTAACTGAAGTAAACCGATTTTATAATTTTGTGATCCACACGCATCCCTGGCATTTCAGTTATGGCTCTTCAAACCTCAGTAAAGTTTATGCTGCCAGGAGCGAGTAATCCGAATTTAATTTGTGCTTACTTTAACTTTTTGCAAAACGTTTATTGACGCATGAAATATAAACAAAAAACAGCTGTCTTGTTTAAATTTGTTAGTGCTGCCAATAATATTTGTAAAAAAAGCTTAACGTATTTTATGTTTTTAAAAAACTCTTAAAACCGATTTTAAGTGTGCGTAGACACTTAAAAGAATTTTGATTCAAAGTAATTTTGACTTACTTAAAGTACTTCAATATTAAGTTTAATATGAATTATCTGTTTTAAGTATTGCGTGAACATTTTAAAAGTACTCAAACCTTCGAAGACACGTGATTAGTTGGCAGGAACCTAAAAGTACTTTCGATATTTGTGTGTAAACACTTTTAAATAGATTTAAAAATCTTTTTTAAAATGGATTCTAAGACATCATTATCAGTTAGTTGAAGAAGTATATTTCCAGACATCTTTTATATAATTCTTTTGTTATATTTTCAAATAATACATATTTGCAATGTCTGGAAGTGGGCAGAGATATTGTAAAGGGAAATTGCAATTTATGTATTTCGATAGACAAATATTTCTATTCAAGAAGTAATTAAAGATGTATTAATGCGGTCGTTGTCTGTTTTTACAAGTTTGTGTGATTTGACACTTTTGATTTAAAACGTACACAAATCAAATTTAAAATCGTTTTTTAAAAACAGTCAAAAAAATTATATTTTTTTTGAATAAAATCAAGTTTCAACAAGAAGAATGCTGCACGTTTCTACGAATATATCAAGTGGATGCATTTTACTATATCAGAATCAATTTTTACACAATTGTTTGTATGTTACATTTTTTAATAACATATGAAATGCTTTAACTATTTATTATTTACTACTATTTCATCAGTTCATTTCAATTATTTAATTTTATTTATAATTTCAATAAGAAAAATTTTTCGAAAAAGTTTTTTTTTTAAAAAATTCAAACCGTAGAATATATTCATCCAATTTAGATTGATCTAGCTTAGATTGTATAGGTTAACCTATTGATCCTTAATGATATATAGTTAAACAGGTAGAGCAAGAAATTATAATCTAAATATGTGGTAGGTATTATGTTTAATGTCAATGTTTTATATGAAATTAAGGAATGGTTTAAGCAACATTCTTAATGGTTTAAGCAAAATCTCTTTTGTTTTCAGTTTCCGGGATATTCTATATCATCCAATAATAATTTTTTATCTTATATGCATGTATCACTAGTAGATTATGACGTGTTTTAACACCGACGATTCTTTTATAAATATTTAGAGCACTAGTTCTAATCAAGTTTAGTTTTCTTTTTGATTTGTATATATTTTTGCAAATAAGTAAACTGTTTCATAGACTAGAAAAGAGAATGGCAAATTTATTTCTTATTTTTTAAATTATTTTAACTTATGACAATGACTGATTTAGTCAACTGATGAAATTTACTATTATCGGCTTAATGGAGATATTCATTAATACTAGTATATTTTATTAGTTTTATAAGAACGTTTTTTATTATTATTATGTTGAGTCTTTTCCGAGTTAGTGCATCTGGGCACTTTTACTCTTTGATCTCACTGACTAATTTGTGTATTTCTCACAAGTTTCGTGATTATTCAATGACTGATCTAAGATCTGCTTACCGCCCCGTGCGATTAGTGATTACTTACAGGTTAGATAGTGCTAAGTGGGACAACTTTTTAATAACAATTAAAGATTTACTTTATAAAAAAAAAATTGTTTGTACATATTACATTTAGAATTTCAATCTATAAGAAAAAGCCTTCCAAATGGCAAGGATGTCTTCAACATGCCTTGAGTGTTGAAACTTTTTAATTTTATATAGATTTTGTACAAAAAATGGCACATATTGTTGCATATATGTCAATTTAAGCTCAAAAGTTTAAATATAGCATTTTTAATATTAGGCACTAAAGTGACACTTTAAATTTAAATAAATTTCACTTGTTGTATGAAGTCGACAATTTTTAGTGAATTGATATGATAGTACAAAAAAAAAAAACTTTTTTATGACACTTTATTTATCACTAAAGGGTTAATGTTGCTAATTTTCTTTTCTATGTTCCACAATACAAATTGTCTCGTATGAAACAGTAACACTGTCAAACATCTGTCATCTGCTGTCAAATAAACAAAAACTATGAAAGGCAGAGAGAGAGAACAATAAAAATCGTCGCAGAAGTGAAAAATTTTTACGAAATTGCTTTTGGGCGTTTGGCTACACACATTTTATATTTAATAATAAATTATTAACGAATTAAAAAACGTAATAAAGTAAGCGGAAATGTTGGCGCTAATAAATAGGATATTGGATTGGTTTAAAAGTATCTTTTGGAAGGAAGAAATGGAATTGACGTTAGTGGGACTGCAATATTCAGGCAAAACAACGTTTGTTAATGTTATTGCGGTGAGTAATATTAAAACAAAGAGAATGAAAAATAAATTATATTTGGTCAGTAAATTACAGAATTTAATGAGTTAACAAAAGTTTTAAAATGTATCATAAGATGAAGTAATTTATTTGCATACAGAGAAAAAAAAGAGCATTTCTGTTGATTAAAAACTTTCCATATTAAAAATATTAACGGATTTTATTTATTAATTTAATTAAATTTTAATTAGACCTTTGCTTTTATTAACACATGCTTTTAATTTAAACACAAATAAAGCAGAAATAGAAATCAATAACCTTATAATGTTAGACGCTAAAATGATCTCTTCTTTGTCACTCGCCCCTTTCCATCAACCGCAGCTAATTTAAGTATTAGAGATTGAAATTTAAGTAGTTAGCATTTCTAGTATGACGCCATCTCTCACATGCTTCCCTATCATCGCAGTATGTTATCAAATTTTGAATTGTATTGAAATGACTATTCCTATATTTAAATAGTTTTATTTGATTTTTGTTTACTAACCATAATCTGCTCGGTAATTAATTTCGACTGTAATCTTTTATTGCTTTATTTCAATAGTTCAAAGCAGTATACATTTACTGTTTGTGTGCCACCGTCTGCCCTACAATCAACTTTACTCTCTGACTCATTCGCTTGGTCATGCTGTACCCAACAGCGCATTAAACACGGTCACTTAGTTAGCTTTTCAAGCCACATTATCTTTATGGAATGCGATACGAATATTTATAACATAAGTCATTCCATACATGCTTTAGAAAATCAAATACTTGCACTCAAATCCAATCTAACTTAACTAATTCATGTTTTTATTTTTGAAATGGAATTTGATAAAATGAATCGTTTCTTAAGTGAAGCATTTGAATAAATAAATAGTGCAATAGTGCAGCACTTAGCTTATTTTTACTATTAAAGTGAAGTCTTCAAACTGCTACTTACACTTTTATAAAACACTGTTTAATGCTTAATTAAACAGTGTTTAATTAAAATTAAAAAATCTTTTTTGTTTAATAAAACACGAATAGTTAGTGTCTAAAGCACTTTTACGCAATATGGTAGTGTCTGTGACCACTTGGGTGATCCACTGTAACAAAAGTTTCTTTGAAATATGATAATAAGTTATTTAGGTGAATTTAGAGATATAAAGTAAATCCTATATAGTGCATTAGAATAAGAGAAAGCAATTCTAACTTAATGTAAGCATCCACAGAATCAAATAACTTCAACTGTCTGTCTTTGATTTGCTTTTGCATGCTCTCGATTCTTAATACTTTGTGCATATCTTCATTCCTGATATATAATGGATCTTTCAGCATACGTCTGAATACAATATTTTGAAAAGTTTAAGGTTTTTTAATAGTGGTTAGAGTAGCGTTGTCATAAGTAACACAGCCATAATAACAATGTACGAATTATTTTAAATCTAGATTTATTTTGAATCTAGATTTATTTTAAATCTAAATTTATTTAAAATTGCTATAAAATAAACCTATATTTAAAATAAATCTAGATTTATTTTAAATCCAGATTTATTTTAAATCTAGATTTATTTAAAATCTAGGTTTATTTTAAATCTAGATTTATTTAAAATCTAGGTTTATTTTAAATCTAGATTTATTTTAAATTAAATTTACTTGCAAAGTTGGAGATTCAAGATTGTATACATTTTTTTCTTTAGAGAATGTTTCAAAAGCTTCTAGTCGGCAACCACATTGAATTTAGAAACAAAGCACATAAATGGTTGATAAAACAAACACAAACTAATGGAATTGTTGTTGTTGTTGTGGCTCGCAAAGATCTATAAAGCAGATAACATGAAAGAAATTACAAAAACTTACATGGGCTAAGTATGGATAGGTGAAGATAGTGTGAGTATAGGGGAAGGGGATTATTTAGCAGTAAAAATGGATTGGGGATGAGTTGGATTTAAATTTAAGTCAAGCAGGATGAAGGCGGAGAAACTATGCCTCTTCTATGGAGAGGAAGAGACTCGCTGGTTTCGATTGATTTGCGAGTCATATTTTAGTGAAAGCAAAAGAGTGTTTCCCTTCAATATAAGAATAGTATTTTATACTCATGTACAGTGATTTTCTATAGGTGTTACACTACATTATATCACTACTACTATATGTTTGTTGTATTTCTTTAAATATTTATTTTATAGAGCTCACAGTTACGCAAGCTATTTTATACTGTTATACTCTCTTTGTTTTTGTTTGATAAACTTTTAATTTATTTTATTTTTTCCAGTCTGGCCAATTCAGTGAGGATATGATACCTACAGTTGGCTTCAATATGCGAAAAATTACCAGAGGAAATGTTACTATAAAAGTTTGGGATATTGGTGGACAGCCAAGATTCCGATCAATGTGGGAAAGATATTGTCGTGGTGTAAATGCAATCGTGTAAGTAACAATAAAATCTTATATAAAAAATTTCCAAGACCACTGATGATGGGTATTTGGCAATACTCGAAACAGCTGAATGGTCAGCCAAAAATTCAATTAATTAAAATAATAAAAAAATAAAATAAAATTTTTGTTGTTGTAGTTTATTACTGTTCGAAAAAACCTCTTTAAAAAAAGTTAAAATTTCAATAATGATATTGCTATGAGTATATTCTATATATTATATTGCACATTATATAAATATATGCTATATACATTGGAGGCCCCAAGTAAGCTTACGATACTATTGAAATGAACGGGCTATATAATAAAAAAATTTTCTATGAAAGTGAGAGTCTCAATAAAACTAGATAGCGTAGCGCTATTTGATTAATAATAACGAAAACAGTATAGATGCTTGTGAAGTTATCGTGTAATACTTCTGAGAACTACAGATGTTGCTATAGCTAGTGAAGATTCTTTGTATTTAAGCAGCATAGAATTCTTCCTTGTCAGTGGATTTAAGTACTACTGCTATTGTTTCCGTTATTATTGCAACTTCTTTGAATCTGAGAGGCAAGAACTTGAGAGCAATGGCAAAAAGTACATAAATGGAGAGATTATTGAATTTTAGTGAGAGTAATGTGAAAATAAGAAAGAGGAGGATAAATGGGAGTATTAAACCTTGTTATGGGCCACTTCATTCATAGTTGAACAATATGGGGAGCTATATTTTGATTATAAAGTAATTGTTTAAAATTGTTACTACTTTTATATTAAATTTTTGGTATTCAAAAGTGGTATTCCGACAATTGATAATTTTGAATATATATCTATAAATAAAAAATAATTTAATAATATTTATTTTATTCTAGCTATATGGTGGACGCTGCTGATTTGGAAAAAATGGAAGCATCAAGAAATGAATTGCATTCATTATTAGATAAACCGCAATTGGTCGGCATTCCAGTATTAGTATTGGGCAATAAACGTGATCTTCCAGGTGCTCTAGATGAAACTGGTCTTATTGAACGAATGTAATAGAGAATCAAATTTTTATATAACTCTATTTAAATTATTCTCATTTTTTATGCTTTATATTACAGGAATCTATCAAGTATACAGGATAGAGAAATTTGTTGTTATAGTATTTCGTGTAAGGAAAAGGATAATATTGATATAACACTGCAATGGTTAATTGCGCATTCAAAAAGCCAAAATCGTTAAGGGAATCAAGTAAGCAACTGTTTGTCATGGTGCTACTGTACTGTCGTTAAAGCAGTTGTCTGTCGGTAGATCGTAAGGGGCACACAACAATGTGAACAAATACATTTTCGCTAAAAAACTAGACATTTAACTTTTATAATTAATGTTTAAAATTATGCGCTGAGGCAACATATATATTAAATAAGATGGAATTCCAAACGAGTAATTTGTGATATAATATGAACTTCGAAAATTGCCTTAGCAGAAGGTAAAGTAATATTTTGGGAACTGTCATGTTTTGGAATTTTGTCTTATTTCGTGCAAATTATTTTGTTTAAAAACACGTATATATTTAAATGTCAATATTTTTTTTCGTTTTATTTACATGTATTTTTTCCCTTTTCTAACTGTTTTGTATTCTCTCTGCTATATATTATAATTTTTTTTTGTAATTATATTAAATAAGTATATTTTAGTGATTGGTGTGATTATGTTGTAATTTCCTATTTTTAATTTGTATAAAAAATTATAAATATTTTAAATCGAATTTGTAGGACACAGCTTCCTTAAAAAAATAAACATAAATGTCAACACAATGCGTAAAGAATTCATTTTTGCTAAATTTAAAATGTTAAGCAAATTTAATTTCCTTTAAATCAAAAGAAATGCACTCTTAGTAATACAAAATTGTAATAAAAAGACGAAATATCAATTGTTAATCGTTTCTCATAATTTGCTATATATAAATTATATTGTTCGTTTTACGGTTTGCTTAAATTTTAATTGCTACATGCAAAGAATCTAAGTTAATATTAAAATGAAGTAATTAATTAAAAGCATTGATAATATATAAATAAAATAAATTAATATATAAATATTAAACAAAAACAAAACACGAAGTACGTAATTATTTATTCGTATTTTTTTTTTTTTGCTATATTTAAAGTGCAGCATAGTTTTTATTGCTGTCAAAATAGTGACTAAAATAGTGACTAAAAGGCTCAATATTTGTTACCATTCTGTAAACTTATTTTACTAGATTTATAAGTTGTTTTATAAGTTTATAATTTGATTTATAAGTTCTGAACTGGAGAACTGTAACCATAGTAGATCTGTGCTACAGCCGATACTGCATGAACAGAAAATATTCAACCTTTCAAATGAAGGACAAAAAGTCAGCCGTTGAGTATGTCTTATTATCAGTTGAGGATAGGATTCCACGGGGTTTACTATTCTGTTCATAACCCAGTCATAAAGAACGTGAATAGACGTTTCAATTGCTTTCAAGCAAAACTGGTATTCTATCACCATGGACAGGTCATGATGATCCGTCAGATTAGGTGTTAACAGCCTTGGTTCTGTTTTTCTAAAGAGGAATACTTAAACATAGTTGTAAGACCGAACTATTTTCTTAGATTGGTGGTTACTTGAAGTGTTCTATTAATAGGTTCCAGGAACGGCTGGAACCTGATATGCAACCAAGTTTACTATTCCCAAAAGGGACTATACTAGCAGATCTTCACAACAATAACAATAACTAATAGTTACTTTCTTATATAATTCAATCCACTAGCAGATACTAAGTTGTAATAAAATATTCAGATTTATAACTTTTTGATATATAAGCTTATTGAAGCTAATAAAAATATAAAACTCCATTATTGTTTGGAAATGTTTACAACTTTGCGGAGTTGAACGTCAATAGAAAATAATGTTCTATTCCATTTATTAATCGAAACGATGGACTTGCATTGATGTGAAATGATCTCTTAGGCCTTTCTAAGTTAGCTAGAACTCAATCTTTTGTTGTCGACGGATTAAATATGGTTAGCCTGATTGAGTGTAGTTTGGTATGAAGGTTAGCGAAAGCAGTTGTTCGTGTGAAAAAAGAAGAAGAAGATCTAATGAGTTGTTGTTGTTGTCTTAGCCCAGAGAGATCTATATAGCATATAACCTTTAACAAAAGCACATATCAAGCACATATCAAGTATTGATAAGGTTGTGTGTTACTTAAGCTGGACCACGACCTTTACTGCATGGGTAAAAATTGTCTTTCTTCATCGTGGATAATAGGAAGAGTTCTGTGGGTACTGTGTGCAGGCATAGATGGTTCATAAAGAGTTGCTTGGAGATATTAAATAGTGAGATTGGAATGAATCTATCGTCATATTAGTATACAAATTAGAAAAAAAAGGATTCGACGCTAGGTATTAAAGATTGTAAGGAAGTGTGGAGATTACGGTTCAATATACATTTTTAATATTACAAATAAGTTTTGATACTATGTTAATATTGCTTGGATATCCGGTTTTCAGGATATAAATTTTCTTTTAATGTCACTTAAGGACATGCTAACAGACAGTCATGGTCTCATCAAATGTGAAATTCATGTTCTTTTCATTGGAAATTAAGTATTTTAGGAATGAGTGTAACAGAAAATTCAGGTGATGATCTCATTACCTGGACAACCGATTCTAAAACTGATTTTAGTTACCTATTTTAAGCAACTTTATACAATATGTCGATATTGTTTTATTTTATGTAATGGCTTTATAAGATATTGTTTCATGCAACTTTAGAGCCTAATATGTTAAAACTGAACTATCGATATATAGCGTAATAAGAATAGTTCATCACAATATTAGAGTTTTGCAAAGTTCCCTATTAAATTGCGGATTCAGTAAGGATTATAATTTTAGAAGTGTGGAATATTTATGTTGGAGCTGAAAAAATAAATACATTAGTAATTTTGTAGAAATAGTATAAGGTACATTATTCTGTTCCTGTATTTATATGTAAATTAAAAGAATAGGTAATTGTTAGAATCTGAGAATAGGTAAATTTGTTGAACATATTACTTAAGTATTATAGATTTATAATTCTTTATTACTAGTATAATCTTTCCATTTGAATTAGTTCGGAAGAATCGGATGAAGTTAAGAAATAAAATTTATTATTTAACTATTTACAAATACTAATGTCCATAAGCAGGTAGTTTCAGTCCTCCTTACATGTTTCCTCTTCCATGTACATGATGCTCTTATGCTTCATAATATAATCATGTTTAATAATATTCATTAGGTAATAAAATTATAAATGACGATGGAAGAAAACATTAACACCTTCATTTCAATTATTCGTTACTAATGTTTAGAATTTTAATTTCTAGGCGGTGTTTGAATTTTAAATTTTCTGTCCATTTCATTTATATGAAGGTTTGAATACACATATTTCAGTGATTTATTAGTTTAACGCGTGTTTGAATGGAGCTAAGGTGTCCATAAATTTGGGAAAACTAGTAGTTAATTGTTTGACATTTACATAATTTATTGGACTGCAGGTTCGAGGTGAATTTTATGATTTCAAGCTTTAATGTTGGCATATAGAAGAATTTGTTTATAATAATAGAAGATAAGATAGAATAATAATATAATAATATAAATAATTTTCTCTACTCTATACTCTATTATGAATAAATGGTATTTTAAGTCAGTCAAGAAGACAGTCATACAGTGAAGAAGTATAACATATTCTGCATTAGCATGACCTGAGAAATGGATTAAGAGTTGTTTATTTGTAAGTTAGGTTAGTTTAAAACGGCAATTATACAGCTACACTAAGGTCTTTTG